TCAAAAAATAGATGTGGCCATTAAAGTGGGTGCGGCTGCACAGCAATTGACTTGTATTGTTTCCTCTTTCCTTTATGCTTTGGCCTGTGAGTACATTATAGTGACAATGTGAGGAAAATAAGCCCCATCATTTGTGTCAGTGGGAGTAAAATAATCAACATCATTGACATTATTGAGAGTAAAATAAGGGCCATTGTTGGTGTCAGTGGGAGTAAAAAATATGTTTGATATAAGTGGAACAAAATAATCCCTATCATCATTGTCAGTGAAATACAATAGGCCCCAGCAATGGTATCATTGAAATATAATAAACCCCCCTTGTTGGTGTCAGTGGGACACCAAAAATGGGGTTTATTTATATATATATATATATTTACATACCTTGGTGTGAGCCTGAAGTGACAAGGAAGGCCTTCCCTTGCTGTTCTTGTCTGAGCCCCACTGGAGACAGCAGCTGAACTCAGAGAAGGGCACGAGAGCCTGTGGCTGATATGAGTGCTTGATACAACGCAGATGATGGTGCTGATGGCTGGATGCTGGAGGTAGCTGGTGGCTGATAGCAAATCAGGCAGTACTGGTGTGAGAAGCTGAAGCCAGGTCAGGAACAAGCTGGATTGGTAACGTGTGGTCAGCGTGGTACAGAAGCAGGAAGGAGCGATGTCAGGAGCAGGCCGGGTCATACACTAGTGAGCAGAATAGTACCAAATCAGAAGACGGAAGGGAGGTCAGAAGACAAACTGAGGTCACAAGGTAGGCAACAGGCAGGCAGAGTCAGGAATCATACTGGGTCAGATAGGTATCAAAACAGGATCAGGAATGCAGACTACAGCTGAAGATCTCTCCGCAAATTGCAGATGCAGGAGCATCTTGTGCACGCGCAGAAGTGTGAATGGGTTTCGCGCGTGCGCTTTATTGGCACCGTAGCGCTCATGTAGAGGCTGTACTATGGGTGCTGACTGATGCACCCTGACAGCCCAGAACTCATATACTTTTAATTTAGGGGCCCCACTTACCAGAGTTGCCTTGACACAACAGCGTGTTTTTAACGTGTATTTACCAATGTACTAAACAACAACCTGTGATTTTATTCTGAGAAGTTGAAACACTTTAGTTAGGCTTATCTGTGACAGGGACCATTTGTATGGTTTTGTATGTTGACGTGCCTATTAGACATGTGCGATTCGTTTTGTTCCGAATCGAAATTCGGACGAATTTTCGGAAATTCGGACATTCGGATGTATCCGAATTCTGAATTACAGACATAACGAATGCAAACGAATCCGAATTTCCATCTCCGAAATTCGGTAGCGTTAGTACGAACGTTCGTTTCGTTTTCTGTTCTTATTCGTTTCTTATTCGTTTCGTTCGTTGGAGCAAAGTGACATTAGAGAAGGAGAAAAATATTTTTCCCCCTCAAATGTCACTTTTGCTGCAAACGAACGAAACGAATAAGAAAGGAATAAGAACAGAATACGAAACGAACGTTCGTACTTAACGCTACCGAATTTCGTCCGAATCCGAATTGACTTTCACACCCGAATCCTGAAAAACGAAATAACACAAATCCGAATTTAAAACGAAACGAAACAAATTTTTTGGCAGTGCACATGTCTAGTGCCTATGTCCTCATTCCCCCTTTTTTGCACCTTTCAAAATTATCTGAGGAGCTGCCATTGTTGTTTTTTTTTTTAATTCTGTGCATTTACACACTGAAAGGGTTCATCTGCCTTGCAAACGTGATGTCTGGGCTTCTGGTTTGTTGCTGTACCTTTAAAGCAGAACTCTGGGCAGAATGTTTCATAACCCTTGAGGTGGGGCTACCCCCAAGGGCAGCATTCCCGGTGGGGCTACCCCCAGGCGTAGAAATACCTTGCCGCACTCCTTACCGGGAAGCCCCAACTTAAATAAGGGGGGGTACTCGCAGTGACCACATTTGACGCCGCCAAACAGTACAAAATAAACAGATGTCAACAGCACACCAATTGTGTTGAAGTCCAAAGTGTTTGTTTATTGGATCATCATGTCACCAGAACTCTAGTTCTGGTGACATGATGATCCAATAAACAAACACTTTGGACTTCAACACAATTGGTGTGCTGTTGACATCTGTTTATTTTTTGCTGTTAGACACGTCCTTGGAGCCTCTCTCCCCCTCTGCTACAGTTTCTATGGTTCTGGAAATCATCACATTCTATGCACAGTGCCTGGCTGGAGATTGACTGTGGCGCTAACAGCCTCTGCACACTGGCAGCCTCATACAGGGGGAAAGGGACAGGTGACTGTGACATACATATAATAAAAAGGCATTTAAAAAAAAATCTGTTTAATCAAGATAAACCATAGTGCAAGTACAATGAAGCTATCAACAATCATGTTTAATAGCTTTGTCAAAGTTTCTTGTCCATCAGATATTTACCCATAGGGATATGTATGCTAGGTTTCAATGGTGTATCTGCTGAAATGAAGGTTATTTGAAGTAACATTTCAGCAAATGATGAATAGTATATACTGTAAAAGAAAAAAACTGTGGGATTACTTTTTTGAAAGCACAATGGATTGTTTGCCACTTAAAGCATCACAGAGTTCAGTTAACCCTCAGCGGCAAAAGCTGGCATGAAGCAGGACAGATGGTAAAGTGGTGTCCTTTAGAAAAATGGGCACAGCAACGGCAGTCAGTAGGAAGGACAGATTGGGAGCACACAGGGTCCAGGTTGCAAAAAGGTAGATCAAACACAGACTGTTAATGTACAAGATAACTACAAATGCAGACCAAACATTTTACAGGCAAATCCAAGGCATGGGCAGTCAGATATAAGTGCATCTGAACTAACAGAGGTTTCACATGTAATTCAAATTGAGAGTTTTTGTTTATGTCTGTGTATGTATGCCGCCATTTTGGAGTATATATTTGTATACACCCATGGGGGCACCCGCTATCTTAGTGTATACCAAGATATACACCAAGATGGTGGTGCCTGAATGTGTGGGTGCCACCAACTTGGTGTGTACCAAGATATACTCCAAAATGGCGGTGCATGCGCAGAACACACCAGCTTCTGATATGGCCACCGCTTGTCCTGCAAATTACGTCACAACGTCACAACGTGAAATGTAAATAAAAGGTCAATGTTCAAAAATAAATAAAGATTTCCCCAAAAAATTAAAATAAAGATTATTGAAAAAAAAGAAATTTAAAAGCTCCACCCAATTTTGTCCTATTGGCTGGGACCTGCTAGAGTCTTCTAGCAGGTCCCGGCCAATGAATAACAACTGACCGGAGCCGGCCCTGATGTCACGGCCGGCTCCGTCAAGTTGTCATTGTTTAATAACAGTTCAGCCTCATTAAACAGTCATTAAACAGTTCAGCTGTTAGTCGGGAAGGCTTTCGGCCGGCTGGCCGCACGCCCCGCTTTGGGTTTCACTTTGGCTCAGTCGAGCCGAAGCATATGACTTTGGCCGCTTCGGGAGCTGTACGGCTATAGTGAATAGTCTGTATACAGCAGCCCTTTGGATCTACTGAACCAAAGGGCTCGGGCGGCTGAAGCTGGCCGAAGGATCAGCCGCAGCTACAGCCAACTGTTTCCATGTAATGACAGCCCAGTGTCTTCCAGGATGCTGGGCTGTCATTGAAGGACAACAACTGGACAGAGCCAGCCATGACATTACAACTGGCTCCGCCCAGCTGTTGTTTTTCGCGGGGAGATTGGTCAGCTTCGGCCACCCTTTCTCCCCACTTCGGGTGTCACTACGGCTCAGCCAAGCTGAAGCATATGCGTTCGACTCGGCTGCCTTTGGCTTCTGTACGGGCTATTGTGAATAGCCTGTACAGCAGCCCTTTGGTTTGACTGAACCGAAGGGCTCAGGCAGCCAAAGCAAGCCGAAGGATCAGCCTAAGCTATGGCTAAATCCGTTGGCTCTATTGTGAATAACCCTGTAAGTATTTTAAATGCTTACTTGCAATATGTTCCTTTACTGGGCTTCTGGTGTGTCTGTGTGCATTTAAGGAGGAATGGAGGTTACTATTGGCCTTCCCCTAGCTTCCATAGCACAGAGGGTGATGTCATCCTCCAACTAGATCACTGGGAATGCTGAGTATTCCATATGTCATGAGAAAACACAGCAACTATTTTACATTCCTCAAATTTAGTTGGAAGAAGGATGGTTTCACCCTTTCCTAGGCACTGCTGGCAGAAGGCAGGGGGAAGCCGAGTGTATTATCTAACTTTTTCCTCTATAGGTTTTTAAAAACTTGAATCCATTGTTTTAGCACCGGAGACGAGGGCAAGCACAAAAAATATACCAAGGTCCGTCATAAGTATAGTGTGTGTGCATATCTACGTACATCAAAGACACATAGTAAATACTGTGAGTACATCTATAAGCTTTGGTTAACAAGCTCCTTTATATATTCAGCACTCAGATGACTTGATTCACTGACATTAAATAGTTAAATTATTATTTTCTAAAATAAATGAGTCTACAAATAATTGCCTTATATATCAGTAATAATGAATCCCATGAAAATATCCCTGAATACTTTAAACTCCCAATGGGTTTATGGGATCACGTCCAGTCATGTATAAAAGCAACAAAACACAGTTATGACATCATTTAACTTCTAGCCGAGAAAGAATTACCATTTAGATTTTTGTTGAAAAATAAATACAATTATTGTGTATGACCTGTGGAAATATTATACCTATTAAAGGTAATTAGTAAATGAATGCTATGGCAGCTTTAGGAGCCCGGAGACTCTCTCTTCAAGCTCAGGTTGCAAACACCCTGTGGCAGAGATTTTTTATCACTCAAAAATATGTGCATACCTATGTTACCAGTATGCTTTTGTTTCAAATCTTTGAGTCACCAATGTGCAAAATAAAATAGCCGGCAGCCAATCATTAGAAATTATATTACAGTAGTCTTGCTTCAGTTAAATGAAATGTGATACTACCGCTGTTTCTCTTTACATTGTTTTGCTTTTTAAATACCTATTGTGGGCTATGGATGGGAAAAACCACACATTAATTAGCATGATCCACCTTTTGGGTTTTCAGAGTCCAGAAAATTTAACGCTTTTGTTCTTTTTTATCTTTCTAATGATTTACTCTATGACGATGTGTGCAAACCTCCTGATCATCACACTGGTGCTCTACGGCAGAACCCTCCATTCTCCCATGTACTTCTTCCTCTCCCAGCTCGCTGTCTCAGATATCTTACTGGCAACTGATATTCTTCCTAACATGCTCCATGCTATTTTGATGAAAGGGACCATCATTTCATTAGCTAACTGCATTACCCAGTTTTTCTTCTTTGGTGTCTCGGAAACTTTGGAGAGCCTTCTTCTGACGGTGATGTCTTACGATAGATATTTGGCCATCTGCAAGCCATTGTATTATGCTTTGATCATGAACGACAGGGTTTGCTGGATAATGGTCATCACAAGCTGGATGTCAAGCATTTTAATAGTATTGATTCACACTTTAACCATATCGCAACTGCAGTTTTGCGGGCCGAATGTCATTGACCACTTTTACTGTGATCTTGATCCAATTCTACAACTCTCCTGTTCCGATACCACAGCTGTCCAGTTAGAAGTGACGTTGTTGAGTGCTCTGTTTGTTGTCGTCCCATTCTTTATCATCATTATATCATATGTTTATATTATAGTCACCATTTTTGAGATCTCATCTATTACTGAAAGAAAGAAAGCTTTTTCCACCTGTAGTTCCCACCTGGCCATTGTCTCCATCTATTATGGTACTCTAGTTTGTGTTTATTTGGTAGCTAGTAGAGGACAGTTATGGAACATTGGTAAATTCCCATCATTACTGTATACTGTGTTCATTCCGTTGCTGAATCCGATGATATACAGCCTGAGGAATAAAGACTTAAAAAAGGTTTTAGGAAAACTCATAAGCAACTCTTTAAACATGCAACGGAACAGACGAGTCCAAAGGAAATGTTGAGATAATTTACCCAAGCATGCAAGATAAGATAAAGTTAATAACTGTCAATTTATAGTTGAAACATTTTAAATAGATAAAAATGTAACTTCTGCAATTTTTACTAGTAAATACATAGTTCTTGAAACTCCAAGATATACTGTATATTATACAGGGCTTTTTTTGTCAGAAAAATAGGTGCAGATATTCACCCCCACCTCCACCCTGGTCTCCACCACCTCCCTTTTGAGAGAATACAGAACCAAGCGTCATTTTGTGGTGATATATAAGCAATTTTATAGATGTTTTTAAATAATTAAAACAAATGCATCAAAATGTACAAATCATAAAAACTATGTAATGCTTTTTAATGCGGCCATTAAGAGCCTTTGCACATTAGACTAACTGTTATGTAATTCTGTACTGATGAGTTTTTAATCAGGCATATGAACTGTTCCACATTATACAGCTGAAACCTTTAGAAACATAGTAGAAATCCATTAAATCTGATCAGTATTACTGCATATGTCAGAATAGATATTATAGAAAAAGCAGAAATGTAGTGTAATTTGAAGTTGCACTAAACCCATGATTTAAAGTTTAAAAATCTATTCAAGTACTTTAACTATTAGCAAAAATGTATCTTATTTGTGTATCACTAAGCTGAAGATCCTCCAATCATCTCTGAATTTGTGCTGACACTGTCCTTCCTTCCTTTCTTCCTTTCTTCCTTCCTTCTGCTACAAGCACCCTCTTGTGATGGACTACAATCTCGCATTTAATTTACTAATTTTTATTGAGATTGTAGTCCATACCGGGAGTGAGCTTGGAGCAGTGACTACTTTACAACACACACAGGGACCATGGGGAACAAAGGTAGCCACCCTCCAGAAGGAAGGACAGTGTCAGCACCAATTCAGAAATGATTTGAGGATCTACAGCCGAGTGATACACAAATAAGATACATTGTTGTTCATAGTTAAGATACTTAAATGTATTTTCAAAGTTTAACTCCCACCCAAGTTTAGTGTCACTTTTATGCATATAATAGCTTAGCTTAGCGGTGGATAAGCTACATATAAATAGCTGTTTTTAGACTGATGCAGTTACCACAGGAAGCCACGTCTAAAATGTATTGTACTATAGCTTTCTTAGGTAGTATAACAGGCTGCTCTTTGCAGAAATACAGACATACAGTTGCCAACATTTAAATAAGATTAGGAGGGACACCTTAAGAACCAGAGAGGAATTACGTGCATATAGCACACCAGTCCCATGTGTGCATGGTCAAAAAGAAGATGTGGCCATTCACAGTGATTAACTTGTAGTGTCTCTTCTTTCCCTTTATGCTTTGGCCTGTGAGTGCACTAAAAAGAAAATGTGAAGAGTAAAATAACTGCCATTGTTGGTGTCACCGATATTAAAATAAGCCCCATCATTTGTGTCAGTGGTAGTAAAATAAGCCCCAGTGAGGGTGTCAGCGGGTGAAAAATAAGCCCCATCATTGAGGTCAGTGAGAGTAAAATAAGTGCCATCATTGGTGATATTGGGAGTAAAATAAGCCACGTCATTGTTGTCAGTGGAAGTAAAAAAAAAAAAAGACTCGTTGTTGATGAGTGGGAGTGGGAGTAAAAAATTTGATTGATAAAAGTGGAATAAAATAATCCTTATCATCAGAGCCAGTGGACTAAATATGCCCCATAACTGGTGTAAGTGGAACAAAATTAATCCCATATGACAGATACATATATATATA